TAGTTGAGCTACACGCTCCATGCATCACTATCATATCATCATCAACCTATCATACCTGCAATCCAGCCACCCACACCACACCTGTCTGTCAACGTAACGCACAGGAAGAACTGTTACTAAATACCTGCTTACATCTTTATTGTAGCACGATGGTTACCCACACCCTAACCCTAACCCATTGAAATGAATTGAACATGCACAATGGCACAAATTTAAACCAATGTTCAAGAAGAGATATTAAAGAAGTGATGTGCATCTTACACAGCTGTAGTTATCTTTGTAGTAATTTCAAGCCCCGAGCACAGTGGACTCAAGTATATTTTTGAATTGAATGTCCGAGCAATAAACCCATAACTCCTCACATTTCCTCACGCCGCTGTAGAGTTCATTACGCTCGATTTCAATGTAGCGTCACACTGAAAGTACCACACAGACGCTCAAAAGGCTGCGAATGATGCTGACAAAGAGAAACAAAGTGTCGCTATCGTTCAGTTATTTTATGCAGCAGGAAATTAAAAGTTGCTCTTTTGCCACTGCTCTCTTCTCTCCTTTAACCGCAATTTGACCATTCGACGTGACAGAATTGATTTAGTTTTTACCCTCCTTAAAATATGCCTTTGTAGTAAATGGCGTGACACCACCGGGGGAACAGCTTCCTCCCCCGTAATTGGAGTAGACGTGCTACATGTGTCTGTATGTGTTGCCGCATCTCATTAGGGCCGGGTACGGGCCACTGAGCCGTCTAAGGAGATCCGATAGGGAGCATGTGCTGGTGCAGTTCCCTCCGCCAGAAACGCAGGCTCTCCGCTCGCGGGACTCACGCCGAGGCCCTCGGAGCCAAGGCCAGTCAGGACGGATCCACTTGATGCGAGGGCCCCCGAGGAGCCGACTGTCAAAATGAACGCAGCGAGACGCGGGAATACAATCCGTGTGTGTGTGTGTGTGTGTGTGTGTGTGTGCGCGCATCTGCACACGCGCCGCGATGGTAACAAATTGAAAGACAAGAAGATACGTGAGCACATTCGTGGCGGCGCACGGATCGCTCTGCGAGGTGCCGGAGTCAATTACGCAGACAGCCGTAACCTTTGATTTGTTTTACCAGTTTTTGCCGCATTCATTGTGTTACGTCTTTCATTACTCATTTCTCTGGTGAGCCTTGTGTTACTCTCTTTCACACACAAAGGGGAGCAAAGCACACTTGAGTTGTTTCAATATGCTCCTTTTTACACAAAAATAGATACCGTAAAAAGGAAATGGGATTTGGCTATTATCTTTATCAATCATATTCTTTTGAATATAGGTCTGATAGTCGTTAGATATGTGATGTTTTTCTTTATTTAAATGTTCTTGTTGATGTAAAGCCACAGTATTACTGCTTTTGTGGACAACAGGTCCGTAAAAAAAAAAAAGAAAATCTGTCAAACTGACCATCAAAGATGAAGTGTTTACCCAGAAGGCTGTTTGTTTTCACACAACGTCTCGATAGGCCTCAAAAGCTGCTTGAGAGCTCTCCAGCTGTCCTGCACATGATTAAGATTGTCCACAACATGTGAAATATCAAGTAACGTTCAAGTTGACATTTTGCTGTTTGGCTTATCGACACCGGTAGTAGAAATAGTAATTATAAAAGCATGGATTTATAGTCTGTACTGGTCGCCGTTGATGGTCGAGAGAGGAAAGAGGCGAGGTCGATCTTACAGCTTCAGTGTCTGAATGAGCGGCGTCGCTCCCATCAATCACCGACGGCTACTGGTAGGCATCGGTGATTGGTTATTGATTTCGCGAAACAACATTAGGGCCAAAAATGGATTTGCAAAAAGCCGCCGATCATATTGACTGTGTGGGGAGCTCATTGATTTAATGTTAGCACAGGTACTTAGCTCCTGGTTGGCTCACAGCAAGACTCTCACAATCCATTTTCTGCGCGCACCCTGTTGGGAGGAAAGTTGTATGCAAAAGTCGGTAATTTCATTCATTAGGGAACAACAGCCCACTTAAGCTTAAACTCCATTTTCAACTTGGTATAATAGTCACAAACAAGCCATTGGACAACGATAAATGTACACTACCTACTACTTGCAAGAATAAAACAGGAACATTTTAAACTTTTTGAAAATCATCATTTCGAGTAAAAGAGCTGAAATCAGAGTTTAGTCGTAAGCGATTCTGTTTCATGAAACTCTATTTTCTTTTTTCCTTTATTGATTTTCCAGACATCCTAGAAAGAAAAATCATATCATGCTGCAATGTGAAACTGTATGTACTCAGTCTTTGGTATATTATCTCTTTTGTTTTTATTGCAAACTGAATATTGGAGATTCCAAAATACATGGCGGGATCTCAGCCATCAATCAATATTCTGTTTTGACATCGATTGAATGTTTGCTACCGAACAAATAAAGAAGAGGTTATGTAACAAGCGGCTGATGGACTTAAATCATCATGCAGTTGGAACATGTGTACGTGGGCGTGTGGGAGTGATGGATGTAATTTAATGACTCACATTAAGTAACCCGAGGGCCTCGCTCTCACATCTTCAATTCCTTTACTCTTTTTTTCTACCTTCACCGAAGCAGACCAACTTCTTAATTGGCATAACAATATGATTAATTGCCTTCTTGTGATTGGGCCCACTGAGTTTTACTCTGTGAAGAAGTATAAATCAGGCGTGTATTTACAAGCAATCAAATGTTCACCATTGAGAGGAACATATAAAACAGCCAGCTGTGCAAAGTAATTGCTTCTGCTCTATCAGCTGCGTATCAGTTGGAAGGAAAGACATTTGGATCGGAATGATGAGTTATTTTGGCATGTGGAGGAATTTTTGGCATTTTCGGCTCAACATTAGAATAAAAAACATCACATTGTATGTGGGAGTGGCGTGTTTTCCCCATCAAAAACACATTACAGTTAAAAAAAAAAAAACGATGACTTTGTTCCAGGATTCTTCTAATGTCGGAGATCCTCACCTCTTGAGTTAATTTTAGTTCTCTGTAAACGAATACCTGCTGTATTCTGTATTCTGTATACCTGCCGAAACATATTTATATTTTTTCTCTTTCTCGGCTGATTAGTGAAGAGAGAAAAAAATCTTTTCCCCAATCTGCCCCTCAACATACTACCAAGAAAAGCACCAATTATCCAGAATTTAACTGTTGTAGTTAAGACAAAAACAGTGATTAACTCTGATGTCTGTGGCGGCATCCAGGTGCTCGTGCACATTAAGGCACTTTATGGTCACATAATGAAGGAGAGACGCTATTGTCTTGATTGGTGTGAATCTTGATTCCAGGTGGCGAATGGCTAATGAATCCTTACAATTCAAGGCCACGCTTGAGGCAGGCGGGGGAATTGGTGACACCACAGTAAGAGACATTTCCACTCAAGGTTATGAAATTCTACAGTGTTTTTCAGTTTGAGCCAGTATCGACTTTATTTTCCAAGCAAAACGAATACACCTCTCGTAACGTTGCAACATCGACGTCCAACTCGCAGAGCATGGGGGCAGGATCGCAGAGGACGACACTTCTTCCACGCTTCTATCTGGCGATTGTTAAATGTTTCTGCCGGCTACAGATTACAGGCCAGGTGGGTCTATAGAATCGTTTTGAACACACGTAACTGTTCTCCATCCATCCAGTAGTTGGTATTGCCATCAACCGTTGGGCATCAAAATCAGGCTAAAAATCTGGGCAAAGTCGGAGCTCCTTTTAGGATGCATCACTTGTGTCTGATATTGTCAGATAGCGTCACAGTGTGGGTTTGTTTCTAGTTTTATTTTGTAGTTTCGTTGTACCTGGGTTACTGTCACCTGCCGTGTCCCTGATTGTTTCCACTGGTGTCCAACAAGCTTCCCGGTGGATTTAAACCACGCGTGTCTCGTGTCGGTTCATTGAATGTGTTTCTATGTCGGTGAGTTCATGTTCGTGCGTCTTCCTGGTCTGCATTTTCCCTCTAGGCTTTTTTCATTTGTGTATTAATAAAGTATTTTTGTTAGGGGGGGGTGTCCTGGACTCTCCCCGTGACAGATACAAATACATCTTGAGTGCTGGATCAATGTCAATGAAGGAATCTTTCATTCTGGAACGTCGAACGCATCCGACTCATCTACCAAACCAAAGGGGATTATTATGAACAACATCTAAACCCTTCAATAGTCTGTGGCCATTGTGACTAAACAAGGGGATCCAACAGATACATGATCAAAAACGGGAAAGCTGTTTTCCTCCAACTCTTAATGGCGTACTAATAGCACAAGGTGTCAAAAATTATTTATTTTTCTTTTTTTTTTAATCTCTCTGCCTTTGGACTTGGAGGAGATAAGGGCATCCTCTCTCTCTCTCTCTCTCTCTCTCTCTCTCTCTCTCTCTCTCTCTCTCTCATGGCTGCATTACCAATTCTGGGACGCCTTTTGCATAATGACCATCCACTGTGTTTGCTCCTGCAGACTGGATAAGGGGACTCATTATAGTGGAGAGCAGCAGGCGGGGGCCATTGTGCGTCGCGTAGGTCGCACTCTTTGCCAGGGACCGGGGAAAGATCTGGGTTTTCTGAAAGAAATAATAAGAAAAACGGACTCTGCACAATACTGCCATTGTAGGCGTAGAACTGATGTAAAAAACGTAACATAATATGTATAAATATTGTAGCGTATGATTTACTTCATGTAGTTGAAAGATAAATATTCTTCACTAATTAGCCGTTACTCTTCGTTTGCGTCGCTTTCCTCACAATTGATCAGATTACATAAAAAGCGGTTGTTAAAAGGGACAACAAAAAGAATCAAGTACTAGAAGGAATAGATCGATTTGGATGCTTGAATTGGAGCTAATCTTTCGCTGGTATGCGCTCAGCGTTTCTGCCTTAAACTCCTTCTAATTTCAAACCATTGTGGTTCCAACATCGAGGTTTTTGATCGTGATCTTCGCGGTCAGATTCTCTTTCGGCTCACTGGCCATTATCTTTTTTATTTCTAATTCTTTCCTCCCCTCTCCCTCTAGACAGAAGAGCCACAATAAGGAAGAAGAGAACAGGCCATGGCCGAGGGGATGATTGCTTCTCAAAGTGGTAAGCAGCAGACATTTGCAGTCTCTTAGCTGTTCTTCTCCACACACTTGTGTGTTCATTTCAGATGGTTTTCTTGCTTTTGAGTCACCCCTGCTGCCTTTATTTTGCAGAGCAATGGACAAATAACATAACCGTAAAAAAACTAAAACCGCAAAAGACTGTGCTCTCTGGCCAGGGTGACGTGATTATGATTAACAACCCCAGAACCGATACCTGAACCTCAGCATGTGGCTCCCATCCAACTGTTTACTTCTTTTTCCCTTATCCCTGCAACACACACTCCTTTCTTCACTTATGGCCAGTGCGCAGTGGACACATTCTACATATCACTTTATTATTCCTCCAACCGAGGAGCCTCTTTGAGCTTCAAGGTATACACCTCTGTGACACTGATTCTGTTCAAGACGTGCAGCTTTCATTGGTTTTATATGCTCCTGATTTTCAGTGTTGAGTCTGTGTCGCCCTGTCACAACCTCTCTGACACACGAATCACTGCTGAATAATGACTTGACCCTTCATCAGTGAGGCCAGAACAAGGCGGAGAAAACAACAGCATGTGTGCAATCTGAGCCAAAAGGGTTCACACTCAGCACATTCAGCGTCTTTAAAAGGAACAAAGCATCCATGAACTCCTCACGGGTTATAAAGAAACTCCTTTAGTACCTGCAAAATGCGGCACGTAATGTGTATTTCTCTTCATGGGGGTCGTGTAGGCAATAATGGGAAGTCATTCTCTGAAAATCTGTGATTATTTCATGCTCAGTCAAAGGTATCATCTCATTGAGTTTGGAATTTTTTATTTCAAAACATGTGGATCTACAGTATGTGTGATATTTGAAAGGTGAACCGGTTTTCCAAATCAGGGAACAATAGTTATGTGATCTGCTGTCAATACGATACGACCAGCTTCCTTCGTGCAACCGCCAGACCTCGTCTTTGTCTTTTGTGAAAGCTGATCCCTCGTTGATTTCCGCTCTTAATGCCTCTTCAAATATCAAGACATGAAGGATACCAGTTGAAGGAAGGAAGCCATTACAGATGCATTTCAAACCCGTACACAACAGGAGTTTCAAATGTGTTGAATTCATCTGTCATGAGCCACAAATACTTGAGTGGGTGCCATTCAAAAGTTAGGACACATTTTCTCCTTCAATTCAACGGGAAAGTGAGGGAGCGTGTCCAAACCTCTGTCTGGTACCGTACGCTTGTGTTTGGGGCGGAGATAGAACGGAGGTGATCCTGTGTGAGGAGACGGAGGAGATGGGAGGCTGCACACAGAGCGTGTTGTTTCCTCAGTATCACATTAAATCTTAATCTCCCGGCTCCTCGTGGGAGGAGCCAGCCGAGCATGGGATTGTGTTTTGCATCTAAATCAAGACCTCGCTTTCCTCCCGGAGGGGCTTTATTGAGATAAAGTTTGACGTGTCTGTTCACAGCTTCACATGGGTCTGCATGTACAGGCTGATCCTCCAGCTGCTGCTGTTTGTACTGAGGTCTCCTTAAATGCAGACGCCTCAGAAACTACAACATCTCTACTTAATTAAAAAGAAAGGAAGTTAGCAAAACTCCAAAGGGGCTGAGCAGTAGGTGAGTTATCATGACAGTTTTCTTTACAGCCAATGTCACGAGCTACAAGCAGACGTAATTGCACGTTACACTTTCTATTCTTCGCTAATTGTTGATTTACAATATGACTTTCTTCTAATATGGTTTCTACAATGGATTATATTAAAGTTGGGGGTCTATTTGTTCAACTTCAACTAACATTTCTCTCTAATGTCATGAAACTCAACATGTTTTCCATTAGCCCCATTAACTCACAACAAATATGTTATAATGATCCTATGAAATACAGGATTGGTCATTATCATAGAACTTTTAAAATAGGGGGGGTATTGTCTAAAAACAAGCCTGTAGTAGTGTTTAAAAAGTTAATTCAAGGAGCACTTTCTTAGAAAGTTCTTTCTGCAGGGACGATCTACTTGCTCTTGAAGAACTCTTTAGAAGCTGCGCAGAAAACGTGTGACAGCTTTTAATTCTGGTTGAGACGTGAATTTTATGTATTTCTCCAGTGAAACTGGACGGTGCAGCACTGTCGTTTGCAGACAGAAGACAGGATTTGATTTACTTTCTATTTGTTGTTGTTTTTTCCTCTACGATGGAGTGCTAACATCAATTGGATTTGGTATTATTAGATCTGGCTGCTCACTTGGAGATATGAAAGGGAGAAATAATCTGTGTGGAAGAGGACGGCTCTGACAGCACGTTGAGGCCTAATGGAAGGCTGCTGTTTGAAAGGGAGAACGCGGTGAGGACCAGCGTGCAGAGCAGAGTCTGCTCACTGCCGATACAGAACACACACGGACGCTCAATGCGCTCCATTCCACCCAGGTCTCATTTATTATGGATATGATTTTTGCTTGTTCCTTTTTTCTCCCAGTGCTGCTCCTTTCTTGTCAGCCTCTTGATTTAAGGATAATGTAATTATTCTTGCTAATGTAGTCTCTCATGTTTGGTTCAACCCCAGTTCCTTGTGTTGAACCAAACTATTATTATTTCTTCCTTTTAAATATAAAGACCCAATAACGAATCAAACCATAAACTCAAGTATAAAATGAATTTTAGCAGTTGGTAAGAGTTAAAGGTGAATAAGTAAGTAATCAGGTGTTTAAACACTCTCCCTGTGCCGTAATGTCAAATCAATTTTCAGATTCCAGAGGGAAGATTTGCCGTTTTTTTGAAGAAAACTGTCATCTCTTCTTGTTTAGTGTGGCGAAGCTTCCATTATCCTCTAACACTGTCCTCAAAACGCTATTATGGACTGATTACGGAACGCCAGAAGTGATCAGAATTTTTAGCCTTGATTAGAGAATATTTGCCCTTTTTTTTTCTTTTTAAACTGTCAGGAATGATCAATAGGAGACGAGGTCGGCTAAGTGAGTGAGCGTGACTGGGAGCGCCGTCATCTTCTCTGTGGAGCAGCAGCACTCATCTGCGAGGGAACGTATTAACATGCTGCCACGCCGCCCTCCCCCGTGCCCCCAGATGGGACTCATTCAGGTCTCTCACAAAAACACATGCGGGAAGGGATCTTAATTGTCAGTCTCAATATCCCCAAAGCCATAATTAAGAAGGAGCCGGCAGAAGGACGCATGCTCCTGTGTCTCGGTGAGATGGATCGTCTCGTATCGGGAAGGTCGCGGTTTCAATTGGCGAAACTTTCAACGGGTCCGGCACCAACGTGGAACATTAAACTGAAAGTAGGACTTTTTGTCTGAGAATGCAAAGCTTTGAATTATGCAAATAAACCCCCAAAACAACTTCGGTCTCTTGTTCAGGCGTACCACTAGAGTCACGTGACCTTTGGCTGTCAGTGCACGCGGCGTGTAATCGCTTCCCTTTCTGTTTAGGAGTCGTATGTTTGTTGGGCTGAAGTCGGAGCTGAGGAGAGGGGGGCGTTGAGCCCACGAAGGAAAACACTGTGATTATCGAGCCCACGCAAAGCTTAGAGGGACATTCCACTGTGACATTTGGCCATTTGTAGATGTGTGGATGGTATGAAGATACATTACGTGAGACAATTTTTATTTCACATTTTTCTTTAGGAGTTCAAAAACTTTAATGGACATTTAATTATGAATAGCATTCTGTATTTTATCCACACGGCCAACTCATAATAACTAAACCCGCCACCTTCCTTTTGTGCACAACCAGTCCAGAGGCTGGATCCATTGATTCTTTTTCATGTCTTTTTATTTTTGTATTTGGACACATCTGGCAAAGGTTATCAGGAAATTTGTGCTGCCTCCGCACCGGCCTCATGAATGTAAACTGATATTCATGACGGAGCAGGCAGCTAGTCAGCAGCCGGTACGGGCAAGTAACCTTTGACGATACCACAGTTAAATAAGGGAGCCAGAGCCGGGTCCTTTATTAGATATTCCTGTAAAAGGCCCCGTCCTCTCACATAGCGCACAATTATTGCAAACTGTAATAACAGAGTGCATTGTGGGAAATCAAAGGCTGCACTCCTCGTGTTTGTTTGTGTTTTTCTGTTGTTTTTCCTACAGGAAGTGCGAGGCCTCTAATTACCTCTTGCAGGGGGGGGAAGCCGGCGTCTTGGTCGACAGACTGTGAGCGGCTATCGCCAGCTCAACCTCCATATTTAATTTATGTGTGCTCTATTATTTATGGATGCCGTGGTCCGTGTGTATGTGGGGGCTTTATGCAAACTTTGAGTGTGTGCAGTGTTTGTGAGTTTTAGACAAAGCAAGAAAAAATATCGAGTGTGAAGCAGAAGAAGTGCATAAACATGCACATCACACATTTCCCTCACAAATGCACTCGGATGTCGATCTATAGTACACAAACATGTATATACTAAACTAACAGTAGAAGAATAGTTGGTTCATCTCCTACATTTAAACAGAACTTACTTAAGTCACTCTGAGAAGGAATGCATGTTAATGGGATATGAGGCATTTAGGAATTTCTTCATGGGGACAGCAACCGCAGTCGGCTAAATGTGTCTTCAAAGGCGGCATACGCACACCAGTACCCTCTCACCAGTACCCCAGTGCCCTCTCACCAGTACGCTCTCACCCGTACCCTCTCACCAGTATCCCAGTACACTCTCACCAGTACGCTCTCACCAGTACCATCTCACCCGTACCCTCTCACCAGTACGCTCTCACCAGTACCCCAGTACGCTCTCACCAGTACCCCAGTACACTCTCACCAGTACCCCAGTACCCTCTCACCAGTACCCCAGTACACTCTCACCAGTACCCCAGTACGCTCTCACCAGTACGCTCTCACCAGTATCCCAGTACACTCTCACCAGTACCCTCTCACCAGTACCCCAGTACGCTCTCACCAGTACGCTCTCACCAGTACCCTCTCACCAGTACCCCAGTACGCCCTCACCAGTACCCTCTCACCAGTACTCTCTCACCAGTACCCTCTCACCAGTACTCTCTCAACAGTACTCTCTAACCAGTACCCTTACACCAGTACCCTCTCACCAATACGCTCACACCAGTACGCTCACACCAGTACCCCAGTACGCTCTCACCAGTACGCTCTCACCAGTACCCTCTCACCAGTTCCCCAGTACGCTCTCACCAGTACAGGGAGATGAGTGTTTCCTGGAACCCTCTCTCACAACACAGTTGAGAATAAAGATACTACACCTACTGATATTTCACCATCTCAGAACCCTCAAGCCTCTGGGAGCACGGGGAGCATCTCTTGGTCGCCAGTGGATCTTCTGGATATCCAGGCCGAGCCTTCATCTTCGTTGTTTACGGTACAATTTGCAAATTCAGATTGAAGACATGAATTGAAGAAACTAGGGGCCATGGGCTCATTGCTAATATTATTCTCTCATTCTGCTAAATATACAGACGTAACAGACATTAACACTAATGTAAACTGTACAGCCTGCGAGCCCAAATGTCACATGATGTCATATTGTAGTGGTATTGTAGTATGTGTGCCGGATAAAAACAATACACGCTGAAAATCTACATTTATTCACAGCAGCACCTCAGCAAACATGCACATGTTGCTTTTGAAAGGGATCGATTTAGAAGAGCAGACGTGTTTTACCCGCTAAACAGATTCCCGCTGTAACGGTGGTGTAGGAGAAGCTCTGTGCTGGTGAATCACCTGTGACTGGCTGGGGAGGCAGATAAACGGCCAACGGAACAAACAAGCCTGTGTCATGCAGGGAATTAGACGGAGAGGAGCAATGCTGCACCGTGAATGAGGTGATTGAGGGGGAGGCTGTTCCCTGGACAGGACTACTGGACCGACAGCATGCAGTCTCATATCTAATGGCCCCTGTCCAGGATCACACACACACAACCAGGGGAGCGAGGCCACTTAAGGGCCTCCGCCTCCCCAGAGCTGCTAGCTGCCCGCCAGAAACCGCTGGTTGTTCAGGATACTAAACATCCTAGAATGTATCTTACTGGGATTTGAATTGCAGCATTTCTTCAGTAATAGGTGTTCTTTTTTAATTGTTCCAGATATTATAACTACACATTAACTACTTTTGCATTTGCATAATATTCAGCAAGAAGTAATTCCTCCGGTTTGACACCACTACACTTATTTGAGCTTCGTGTTACTGCAAAGATGAACATGAGAGCCTGCTTGATTGATAGTTGCCTCAATCCGCCTCACTCTGCTCTGCTAGGTGCCAGTTCATCCAGCTCTGCTTCAATCAGGATGTCCTCCTTCCCACACCACTTTCATAATGGCAGCCTTGACGTTTGTCATGAGCTGTAAACTAAGATCTGTATTCTAATGCACAGTAAGAAGAGAAAAAGAAAAGTATACCATTCATTGCTGTATTTTTCGCTGAAAATTTAGTAAGAAAATAAACTAATATAGAGTCAATAAATAATTCTCAATATTGAATGAATCCAAAAGTGTTTTATTTCTAATAAATGTTAAAACGTGCACTGGCTAGCTGCACTAGTAGTTATATACTGAATTCCAGCTTCATGAACACCAACATGAGGCACATGAAAGGTTATAAAACCTGCGTTTGCACCTGAAGGCCGTTACATCTCTGTGCC